TCCCTCAAGAACTGTCTATGATAAAAATTTGTTAGAATAAACGGTTATAACTTAAAGAATCAAATATAAAAGTTTGGAAGTAGAAAAAAGTAAATAAATTGAAAGAAAAAAATACACATTTTATTGAAGTTGAAGTATTGTTTAAATACAAAAGAAATAAAAACATAATCCTAAAATCATCAACAACTAGATTAATGATAAACAAACTCCTAAAACCTGCAATAATAAGGAAATCAAATTTTAAAAAAAGAAAAAGTCAGTAAGGTTGTTTTGACTAAAATGTGTAGTAGCTGAAGCACAACTTCAACAAAAATCAAGGGAATTTGGAAAGGTGATTCACGACAAGAATAGTTGAAAAGGGAGGGAAAATTGATCTTGAGAAAATTTCTTTGTAGATTTATTAAATTTGATCCTTTTAAAATTTAGTCACAAAAATTCAAACTTTATAAAATTTCAATTTAGTCACTTGTCAAAAATTAACTCAACCTTTATAAATTAATAATTAACGATTAAATTTTTTTTAATATTCTAAAAATATTTCCCATATTAAATTTCAAAAATCTTGATTTTATCATAAATTATGAAAATTACTTGATTACAGACTTGATTCTACTGATCCAAATTTTGGGACGTTACAGAATGACTTGCCACAACACTTGTTGTGGTCCCTCCCTAATTGTATGCCCCATGCAAACTAATGAACGATGCAAGTGACTTTGATTTTAGGTCAATACATGGCCAGATAAAAGGTAAAATATTTCTTGTCATTTACTTGTTAGGGTATGCCCAAAGACCAATCATATGATGATTTTAATGATACATTTTATTTACTGATTTTATTGAATAAAGGCATTGCCATTATTATTTTCAGTTATATATCTGTGTTGAACCTAAACTGAAGATAATAAAGTCATCTAATAACATATTATTATTATTAAAAGATCCATAGTCAAGTATTATTATGGATATAGACAATAATAATCGCTTAAGACTAACGTGTTATTGATTCATGACAACGAGTTGCCATTAACATAGAGATGTCAGAATTGATACATGATTATATTGTTAGAGAACAATGTATTTGATTAACCCACCATGAGCATATATCTTAGATTATTATGTGACGGTCATAACATTGCTCATGGTGATGACTATATGTATGATCCTCAGACTTGAGATCAATGCTATCCCAACATATATTGTTGTATGTTTTGATACAATTAAACATGCTCTATAATTGGTTTCACTATAAAGACTGTTATTGAATATATCTTGATATATGTAGTGGGTTGCGAATGATTAAGATAGGATTTGTTCTTCCTACATAATAGGAAATATATCACAGGCCACTTGATTGAGTGAGACTATAAATGCATGGTCATGCTCGAATAAGTTGATATGTGATATCACAAATTGTTTGCTAATTATACTCTACTCTAGATATCAGGAAACAATAGTTGGCTATATAAGTTTGACTATTCCAAGACTTGTGCCTATTCTAGATATAAAAAACAAAAGGATGTAATACATAAAAGAGTTAACCACGAAGATGATATGTCAAATCATAATTTCTTGTAACTTAGGTGACAATGATATATTGCTAGATGTCACTCATTGTATGTAATATTAGAATTGTTCTAATATTAGGATTGAAATGAGCCAAGATGTACAATTTGTGTACGTTACTAAAATATATCTAGAGTTAATATATGTATATTTGATATACATATGATTTTAATTATCCCGAATATAATAAGTAAGAATGTAATTCTGATTACAACTCTTTTAATGGACATTTAATTCAAAATAATTAAATAAGAGTTTAAATAAACATTAAAGAATGTAATTCGGATTATAAGTCTTTAATGGATATTTAATTTGAATTAATTAAATAAGAATTTTTTAATTTAAAATTGAAAAAATCTCTAATATGTTAGAGTAACTCGGATATTTAAAGTAGTGGAAGATCTAGTAGCCGTTTTTTATATCTAGCCGTTTTTCTCAAAACTATTTTGGGAAAAGTAAATTTTTCTCTCAATCGGGTGAACTAAGTAGAGGTCGAGACGTGTTTTCGGGGAGGCTTACGATTCGAACCGTTCGTGATCACCATCAGTATAGCCGCTACTATGATAGTAGGACACTCAATGATGCCCAATTAAATTACTCCAATATCGGAAAGGAGTTACTATCAGTAGTATTTACCTTTGAAAATTTTCAACCTTATCTAATTAGTACCAAGGTAATTGTCCACACTAACCATTCGAAAATTAAATATTTGGTGATTAAAAAAAGATGCCAAACCGAGATTAATTCGATGGATTTTACTTTTAAAAGAATTTGACATCGCAATTTAGGACAAGAAAGGCATAGAGAACTAGGTTGTCGATCACTTATCCAGGCTTATAGGTATTGATGAAGAGAGCAATAAACTAGTAATACGTGATGTTCTCAGATAAGTAGCTATTAGTTGTAACGACAATTCCATTGTATGAAGATATTTTCAATTACCTTGTAAGTGGCGTATTACCTTACGATCTTACTTACAAAAGAAGTGATTCCTACATAATTTTAAGCATTATTGTTGGGACGAGCCTCTTTTGTTTAAACAATGTGCATGTCAGGTTATAAGACATTGTGTTCCAGAGGAAGAGCAACAAGGTGTATTATTCTATTTCCATTCATCACCGTATGGAGGTCACTTTGATGGTATCCAAGCAGAAGTAAAAGTCCTCCAATCTAGATTATATTGGCCCATCCTTTTCAAGGATTTGCACAAATTTACAAAAAAATGTTATCGATGTTAACACACTGGAAATATTTCAAGGAGACACGAGATGCCATTGTAAAATATTCTTGAGGTAGAGCTATTTCATGTTTGTGGAATCGATTTCATGGGACCATTCTCATCTTTATTTATAAACCTTTATAACTTGCTCGTGGTGGACTATGTTTTCAATTGGGTAGAAGTAGTAGTTGTACCAAAGAATGATTCCAAGGATGTGCAATGGTTCTTACATAAGAACATATTCACCCGGCTTGAAATGCCACAATTATCAATGATGAGGGAACACATTTTGACACCAAGCTAATTGCTAAGGTATTAATGTGTTATAAAGTGAAACATAAGATTGCTACAACCAACCACCCATAAACAAATGGCCAAGCTTTATCTATAATTCAGAAATTAAGCTCATTCTCGAATAGGTGGTCAACCCATCACGAAAAGACTGGTCCACCAGACTTGGTGAAGTTCCATGGGCTCATCATACTGCTTTCAAAATACCATTACGGATGTCCCCATTTTGACTTATTTGAAAGCTTGCCACCTTCCAGTGGAAATTGAACATAAAGCTTATTGGGTCAAGATGATGAATATGTATTTGCACATGGTTGGATAGAAGTTTTTGTTATATTTGAATGAAATAAAAGAATTGTATTGAATCGTATGTGTCGAAACGGTCTTTTTCTATAAGTGTGAGATCTTAAAACTGCACCATTTTTAATTATTCTCTCTTCGGATTGATTTTTAACTAAAAAATGATGCGATTTAAAAATCCTTTCGTTTCGAAAATTTGAAAATTCTTTTACTATAAAAACATACAGTTCGAGAAGTCGCCACCAATATTTGATTAGGGTGTGATTGGGCACCCAAAAACGTTTTTCCATTTTAAAGAAAAAAATAATTTTAATTAAAACGACAAATTTAGGTATGCGTTTCCAGAAAATGAGTTCGGGGGTCGATTACACGTGGGGAAGGATTAGCACCCCACATTGCCCTAAATCGGTACCTAGTTGATTAATTAACGTCTTTGCAATAAAATTTACAAATTCGATTTTAACTTGATTTATGATCCCAAAACAATAAACATGTGAATTTTATAATATTCAGCAACACCAAACTTATTAAATTAGAATTACCAAGCCATTAGAAAGATAAAGAATATTCGATTATTTAAAAATATCGAGACAAGATCTTAGATAAGTCCTAACTACCTTTTCTCGAAACATTTAAATAATATAATATTTCCTTTTCTTTCGTTCCCAAATTTTAAAGTGATAAATCAATTTTTAGGTATCACTAATGGGATATACTTCTAGTTTAAAATTGTCAAAAGCGGATATCTAATCAGTTAAGACAACCCACTTAAAACAATTTTAAATTAAAAGGATATTACTCTTAATTCAATTATGTAATAATATCGAATTATGTAAGTGAAGCTATCATGCAAATCATACAATAATGATGTCCTCTAAAAATTAATTAAGCAAATATTATGATTAAAATTATCTTGCAATGTGACATTTTAATATAAAAATCCATCAATATTTTTATAAATATAAATTATAAACTATATATATTAATATGTAATGTACAAATGTGACTTAAACATACCAAATAAAAACATAACATCTCAAATTACAAATTTTAGAAAATAATTGTACTTATTAAAATAAGGACTAAATTATATTAAACCAAACTTTACTGTTTTAAATACAAACAAAATAATAATTGAAGTGGAAATAAAAATACCATACCATAATAAATAACGAAACTGAATTAAAACAAAATACTATTATAAATGATTAAATTAAAATAAATCTCAAACACACAGAATTACAAAAATAAAATGCGAAAATTAACAGTGAAATGTCTAACAAAAAGAAATTAAATACATTACCACGTGATTGAAGTAAAATGCGGGCAAAATAAAGGGACAAAATTAAATTCATGAAAATAATAGATTAGGGACTAAAATAAAATTATACACTAAAATAATAGGGATATAATAATAATTAATCCATACAAATAAAGCAAGAAATTTAATATGTAAAATTACAATATCGAGACAAATAAAAAAAATAAAATTCGAAACTGCTCCTACAAGTGATTATTTTATAAAATACGCTAAATTTAATGGGATTAGAACCTAATTTACAATAAAGTTGTAATATATATTACTTAAAATATCTAACCTAATCCTATTATTCTAAACCCTCAGCCGCATATCCCATTCTCTCAACCTCTCCCATTCCTTCACTCGGCCACGCACAACGCCACTCTCAACCCCTCTCCCTCTTTCGGCCAGGTAACGGCGCTACAAGACAGGGCTAAACGCGCCCCGGCCACCGCCTAACGATGGTCTACTTTGCTTTGAATGGCCACCCCAAACCGACTGGAATATCAAACCAGCCCTAACCTAAGCCAGACTGAGACCTCGACTAGCCTTCCCTCTCTTCTGTCTCACTCAACCGAGAACCAAATCGCACTAAAATGGGTCACCTATTCCATTCGACACTACCCTAACTTAATGGCAATAGGAGCTCGATTTCTTCAAAGGTAACTAAATGCCCCCTATCTCTCTTTCTATTTTTTTTCAAAACTTATTTTTACTAAGCTAATCTCAAACCTTCTTCTTGACAGAGCCCGAACGGTGATGAAATGGAATCAATGAGACCCTACTGGAACTCGCACAACTCGGGTAAATTAAACCCAAATCCCTCTTTTTATTATTATTATCTGAATTCTTTACCAAATAAAAAATTGAAGATAAAAAAAATGAAATTTCTTTCACAACAGTATTGTTGTTAATACTTGTTTGGAATGATTTATGATTGGGCTTTAACCTCTAAAATAGTGATAAAAAAATGTTGATATAGTCAGTATTTTGATTCGATATTGGCTCTTTGATTCTCTGTTACTATTATCGGGCTGTTTGGGATCTGTTATCTTGTTTTTGACTAGTGCTTATGCTTATCTATCACTGCTATATTTTAAAGACATAAAAATGGAATGAATCAATACCGTATTCAACCTGGAATTATTTCAAATTAAAAAACAAGAACAGAAAATAAAGTAGAAAAATAAACCGAAAACCTTAAGATGTATCCTACTTGGTATTGCTTCTGTCAAAAAAAATATGGAAACCTTTTACAATCTCTTTCTTAGCTAAGAAATTCCCCGTCCCCCTTTTACAATTGTTTTCTCTTGTTTTATCAATCCCCCGTTTCATTCGTGTTTTCTGCTTGCTCCCTTTTTCCCCCTTCTTGCTGGTCTCTCATCGTCCCCTTTTTTATATTTTTCCACCGAATTCTCCTTGTCATCTTGCATGCTAATTTTCTCTGCATTTGGTAGTATAATGATAGGTTTAGGTAGAAATCTCTAATTTGTTTATGGATTAGGTTGCTTTTTGCTCAATTTTGATGGATGATTGATTGATTTTTTTCTTGATTTGGTTTAATGTGGGATGACTTTGTTGTAGGTTTCCCGTGAAATGTTGAAGATGGCATTACTGGCTAAAGCATGGGTCTTGTTCGGTGGGTGACAGCAGCACGTGGGAGGCATGAGCTTGTTGTACAACCTGCAAGAATATAAATGATATTAATAATAATACTAATAATTATTATAATATTATGTTATAATAATAATAATATAATAATAATATAGTAGTAATAATTATAATATAATATTTATAACCAGGACAAAAACTGGTGTCTACATCATCTCCTCTTTGCCCATTCTTGTGTTATCAAGAATAGGACAAAGATAAAAGAGACATTGTGTTTTTGTCCAGTTCCATCTTCGTGCTTTTAAATTTGATAACAGATTTGTTCTGATGTCACTCAGGGAATATCAGATATGGGAATGTTGATCCACTCTACTATTCTTCAGGGAAGATTGAATCGGGGTAGACTTGTTCCGTTGTCACTCATGGAATATCAAATCTTGGAAAAAGAGACATGTTCCGATTACTCTGAAGGGAATATCAGATATGGGGGAGTTAATTCATTAAATCGAGGCAGACTTGTTTCACTTACTCTGAAAGAAATACAAATCTTGGAAAAAAGAGACATGTTTCGCTTACTCTGAAGGGAATATCAGATCTGAGGGAGCTGATTCATTAAATCGAGGCAGACTTGTTCCACTTACTCTAAAGGGAATATCAAATATTGGAAAAGATAGACTTGTTCCGCTTACTCTGAAGGGAATATCATATCTGAAAGTCTCGGGATGATAATTTTTGGAAGAGATTTCTCTTGCAGAAGCTTTTCTTGTCACGACCAAAATAGAAATTCAAATTGGTTATTTCTATGTTGGGTCTTTACATCTCTGTCATTTCTTTTAAGAGAACCTGCAAGCACTCATTATTATGCATTTTATGTCATAATCTTATTTCTGCCTAAAATGTGTGCAATGATGCAATTATTTTGAGGGTGTTTTCTTTTCAAACAAAAATTTTCTTTTGTTGGCGGCCTTGTACTTCAGACTGATTTGGACACGAAAAATCAACATCAGTTCATCTGATCAACAACCCTGGTTGGATACTCTTTGGTTGAGTCTGACTCTGATTCTCTTTACTTTTTGAACCCTTGTGTTTCTCATGACCCATTATTTAATCAGTGATAAAACCTCTTGGGTTATCCCACATTGTTGAGCAATCGCGTGTATCCCAAGACTTTAACTTCTTGTGGCCTGACATTGCATAAACCTTATGCTAAAACTATTTTCGGCTTCAGGATATCTGCATTTTCCAAAACCTTTTGTACAATAATGCACAAAGTTCTCATGTTTCCCGAGCTAATTTACATGTTTTTATTTTTAATCAGGATGCTTGTAACGCGATTAAAAACATCTTTTTATTTATAAATAAAGAGTTTTTGGGTGAATACATGGCAACCTTTTAACCGGAATAATCAAAAGAAAATACAGTAGGCATCATCAGATATCAATAGTATGAAAGCTTTTGAACTGACATGCCGTAAGAGGACCCGAGTGTAGCTTCTGTCAAGGGGATCTTGAGGATTATGGTAATGCGTAAGGGTATGAAGTTCCACATGTATTGCCAAATTCTCGACTGTTGGATGCCATAAGCCAGTGTTTGAATCTCATTTACTTTCTGGTTACCCAAGTTTTTGATATCAAACCTTAACCCATGACTACCATTTCAAGTCTTCAAAACTAATTCAGAACCTCTTCCATGCACGAATTCTGAATTCACACAATTCTTAAGCCGCCTTTACGGGTTTTCATTTTGAACCCTTTTTTTTAAGCGAAGTATTTCTTAACTGCATCAACATTCACGGGTCAGGTAATTTTGGTCCATTCATCTCAGTGAATATCAAAGCTCCTCCAGAAAATGCCTTCTTTACCACATAAGGTCATTCCCAATTTGACATCCATTTTCCTTTGAAGTCTTTTTAAATTGGCAAAATCTTTCTTAGCACCAGATCTCTCTCTTGAAACTCTCGTGGGTGAACCTTTTTGTTATGTGCTCTTATCATATGTTTCTAGTACATTTGTCCATGGCAGATAGCTTTTAATCTTTTATTCAACTGGTCATACCTAGCTTGCACTTATTCTACTTCATCTAGCTTAACCTCTGATAGCACCCGTAGTGATGGAATCTCAACCTCGATGGGTAACACAACCTCCATCCCATAAGCTAAAAAAAACAGAGTTGCCCCAGTGGACGTCCTCATCGAAGTTCGATAGGCAAATAGAGCAAATTGTAGCTTTTCATACTAGTCTCTATAAGTCTCAGTCATTTTCTGTATGAGCCTCTTGATGTTCTTATTGGCTGCCTCTACCGCTCCATTCATCTTTGGGTGATAAGTGGTGGAATTACGATGTTTAATCTAGAACTGTTTACATAGACTCCATCATCTTATTGATTAAATTCAAGGCATTGTCGGAGATGATCCCTTCTAGTAGCCCACACCGACATATAATGTCTCTCTTCAAGAACTTACAAACTGTTGACTGAGTGACATTTTCATATGATGCCGCTTCTACCCATTTAGTGAAGTAGTCTATTGCCACAAATATGAAACGATGGCCATCCGAAGCTTTGGGTGAAATTTGCCCAATGACATCCATGCCCCACATAGAGAATGGCCATGGAGCAGTCATTACGTGCAACGGGTGAGGAGGGGTGTGGAGCTTAGCTCCATAAATCTGGCATTTGTGACATTTTTTGGCAAAATTGATACAATCAGTTTCCAGGGTTGACCAATAATATCCGAATCTCATTATTTGTTTAGCCATTGCATGTCCATTAGCATGGGTATCGCATACTCCTTCATGCACTTCTTCAATGATTGTTATGACTTCTTTGGTATCCAAACATCGCAACAAGACTTGATCATGACTCTTCTTGTACAAGATATCACCATCAAGCACATATCCTGTCGTCATTCTTCGAATAGTTCTTTTGTCATTCTCAGTGGCATGCTCAGGGTAGATTTGATATTTAATGTATTGCAGGATGTTATAATACCAGGAATTTCCATCCTTTTCTTCTTCTATACTATAGCAATGGGCTGGATACCTGTAAGCTTGCATCGTAATAGGCATCATGCTTGAATATTCATTGACTTTGAAGGCTGCTTCCAAGGTGGCCAGAGCATCTCCCATTTGATTCTATTCTCTGGGGAGGTAATGGAATGTCACCCTCTCGATTTCTTTAATAAGCTCTAGGACCAACTTACGGTATTCCACCAACTTCGTATCCTTTGTTTCTCATTCACCTCTGAGTTGATAAATTTCCAACGTTGAATCCCCGTATACTTTGAGTGTTTTGACTTTACGTTCAATGGCAGCTATAAGACCCAGAATACATGCTTCATACTCGGCCATATTATTTGTGTAATCAAAGTTCAATCGGCTGGTGAAAGGATAGTGTTTTCCACCAGGTGAGACGAGAATTACCCCAATCTTGTGCCCCAAGGCATTCGAGGCACCATCGAAATTCATCTTCCACTATTCACTAGTAGAGGAAACTGCATCCTCTGTTGAAACAACCATTAAATCTTCGTCTGAAAATCGAAGTTCAGTGGTTCATACTCTTCAAAAGTCCTACTTGCAATGAAATCAATCACAACACTTCCTTTAACTGCTTTTTGGCTTACATATTGGATATCAAATTCAAACAATAAGATTTACCAACGAGCCAATCTTCCAAATAAAGCAGGTACGCCTATTAGATATTTCAGAGGATCAAGTTTAGATATCAGCCAAGTAGTGTGATACAACATATACTGTCTGAGCCTTCGGGTAGTCCAAACTAAAGCACAACACAACTTTTCTATTGGTGAGTACCTTGCCTCACAATCAGTGAACTTTTTACTGAGGTAGTAGATTGCTCTTTCTCTTTTCTCAGTTTGGTCTTGCTGCCCTAATACGCACCCATTGAATTCTCAAAGATTGACAAGTAGAGGATTAATGGTTTGCCTGATATTGGTGGCATTAAGACTGGAGCATTCGACAAATATCCTTTTATCTCTTCAAAAGCTCCTTGGCAATTATCATTCCATACCCCTGGGTTATTTTTACGGAGGAAGCGAAAAATAGGATCGCACTTCTCAGTTAATTGCGAAATAAATCGGGCGATATAGTTTAATCTTCCCAGGAATCCTCGAACTTCTTTTTGTGTTTGTGGGGGTGGTAACTCCTGAATAGCTTTGACCTTGTCGGGATCCACTTCAATCCCTTTTTTGCTTACTACAAACCCCAAGAGTTTTCCCGATATTACCCTGAAGGTACACTTAGCATTTCTTTAATCTTTGGAAGAGTTTCCTCAGATTCTTGATGTGCTCTTCATCCGTCCTAGCTTTAACAATCATATCATCGACATAGACCTCTATTTCCTTATCCATCATGTCATGGAATAGTGTTACCATGGCCCTTTGATAGGTTACCCCTGCATTCTTTAGCCCAAACGCATCACCTTATAACAGAACGTGCCCCACATGGTGACAAACGTAGTTTTTTCCATATCATCTAGATGCATCTTTATTTGATTGTAACCTGAAAACCCATCCATAAATGAAAATAGGAAGTTTCCAGTCGTATTATCCACCAGGGTGTCTATGTGTGGCAAAGGGAAATTATCCTTCGGACTGGCCCGATTAATATCTCTGTAGTCGACACGCATACAGACTTTTCCATCTTTTTTTGGTACTAGAACAACGTTCGCTACCCATTCTGGATATTTAGCCACTTTTAGGAACCCAACATCAAATGTTTCTTTACTTATTCTTTAATTTTAATCAGCATTTCGGGTCATCCTTCTGAGCTTTTATTGTACCGGTTTACATTTGGGCTTTATTGGCAATTTACGTACCACTAACTCAGTGTCTAAACCTGGCATGTACTCATACGACCAAGCGAACACATCTCTTTACTCTCGTAGCAGCTCAATCAGACTTTGTCGCCCCTCAGTTGATATAAAGGTTCTAATTTTTATCTCCTTTTTTTCTCCTCTGATCCCATATTCAAGATCTCAATGGTCTCTTCATGAGGCATAATTTGTTTATCTTCTCTCTCTACCATTTTTAGTAGTTAAGAAGGTAAGTCACTTCCCTCATCATTATCATAACCTCCAATTTCCCCTTGACATATGGGCAGCTCAAAATCTATCTTCGGGTCAGAGTCATCAGCATTCATATTATTGATATCGGTGGTCCTGAAAGAATAACAAACGAGAGGATATATATACATATACAAATACAAGATAATCTATCCCATATCAAAATAGAATGAAATAATAATATATAATAAAAAAATAAAAAAAAATGCAAGGGATGATGTTTGCCATTTCGTGAATTAACACGAATGCATCATTCATTAAAATAGAAAAACAGATAGATTAACCCCTTACAAAAGATCACCTATTGTCTCGGGGTTTAGACAATAGGGAAAGTTTTTGTGTATTACTCTGAAACAGTTTTGTAAACTA